TAACGAAAATACCTACTCACATATCCCTCTTAAACAGTTTTCTCTCTTTCTGTTTCAATGCAGTATACATTATTAAACCCATCTTTCTCAGTCTCCCCCCAACCCCAATATCAGTCCTGTTTTACAACAGTGGCACCATGCAGTATTTGTCCCTTTGTGACTGAGATACTTCACTCAGCATAATGTCCACCAAGGTCACCCATTTTGAATAATATTGCACGAGTTTCTTATTTTTCAATGTAGCATAGTATTCCATTGTGTGACTATACCACAGCTTCTCTATCCATTCGTTTGTTGATGGGCACTTAGGTTGTTTTCAACTCCTTGCTATTGTGAACAAAGCCACAATAAACATGGGTGTGCATATATCTGCTTAGATGTCAGTTATGGTCTCTTTGGGGTATATTCCCAGTAGTGGAATTGCTGAGTCAAATGGTATCTCTATTTGCAACTTTTTGAGAAAGCACCATACCGCCTTCCACAGTGGTTGCACCAAAATTAACTACTCTTAATGTTACCCTCCAGCTTGATTTATAAAATTGTGTGGGGTTGGAGATGGGCTAAGGAAAACAATTTAGTTTTCTTGCAACTAGTAATTTTTTAAAAACCTATTTAGTTTTCTAGTGGTGTTATCTATGGCTACCACAAGATCTAACAAGTAGAAATTTATTACCTTATTGTTTAGGAAGCTAAAAGTCTAAATTCAGGTTGCCATGTCTAGGAAAGACCTGCCCTGTTAGCTGGGGAGGGGGGAAATCCTTGTTTCCTTTGGTCACTATAGGTCCAGCATTCCTTGGAGAACTCCATGTGTCGTGGCTTTCTCTGGTATCAAGGAGCTGCTAAGTGCAGGGGCCCCTGGGTCTTTATGAGCCTCCACTCCTGGCCATGATTTCTTGGTGGTGCTTTGGAGTTCCCCGTTGCCCAGCTAGCTTCCCTTTCTTTTTCTTTTTTAAGTTTACAACACATATTTTTATTAAATTAAGAAATAATTTATAACACTATGTTTAATAAAAAATATGGACCGCTTCACAAATTTGCGCATCATCCTTGTGCAGGGGCCACACTAATCTTCCCTGTATCATTCCAGTTTTGGTATATGTGCAGCCCAAGTGAGCACCCCTCTCTCTTTATTTTACAGGTCACATCCTCAAGAAGCTTCCAGTGCTGTGATGGGTTTAAGGAGTGCTGTCTGCCTTAAACCTTTTACAACTCTTTGGTCTATTAGATCATGGAGGATTGTTACATAGCTTCCACCTTATGTCGTCACATACATGTCTTTTAGGGGGACACGATTTAATTGATGGCAGCTACTGTTTATTGAAAAGGGAGCTCTGGGGTAGTCTGTCAGGAGTTGTGCCTCTAATCTGGAGGCAGCACCTATGTGGCAGTTTGGATTCACCAGCAGCTCCATGAGAGGAAGATGGGAAGTCTCCCCCTATTGGATTTACAGCCTCCTGGAAACGTGCTGGAGGCTCAGTGATGTGTCGGTTCCAGATCGAAGGCAAGGAGTGAAGTTAACAGATTTATTAAAAAGCTCTTAAAGGACATATTACTTGGCAAGAACAGAGTGCGTGAAAATGAGGGAAACACTAGCAGTTAGATGGACACAATAGCGGCAAAGGTGGGTTCAAAGAGACTGGCAACAACTTCCTCTGACCCTTTCCCAGTCTGACAACTTTTTCTAAGACCCTCAACAAGACGGATCGACATAGTGACTGTTAAACAGTGGGCTTGAAAATATTGCAGATGGTGAGGATGACGCAGGATAGGGCAAAGTTCAGACCTGTTATTGACGGAGTTTCTGAGTCATTAACTCATTGGCACCCAACAATAACAACACCACACAATTAAGAAACTGAGAAGGGAGAGGTTAAGTGGAGCTGAGCTTCAGACCAGGCGTTCTGAATCAGAGCATGCCCTTTGTGCTGTACAGCTTATGTTCCAGGCACTGTGCTACGTGTTTACACCCAATTCCCCTCCATTTTGCACTTGAGAAATCTGAGACTCAGAGCAGTTAAGCAACAGCTGAAGGTCACACAGCTGGGAAGCAGTAGAGATGAGATTTAAAATTGGCCTGCTCCAGAGCCTCTGCTCTTTCCATCCCACTCCTGTAACCCTGTCAGACCCCTGGGCTTTTCCAAAACAAGTTTACCCAAGAGCTGATTATGACAATATTTCTTTGGGCGATCCAATTCCTCCCTCTGGGCCTCAGTTTTTCTATCTAGAGAATGACTGGGTTGGGACCAGCAGATCTCGGAGGCTCTTTTGCTGCTCTGTGAGCCTGTGATTCAAGAGGAGTGGTATTTCTAGCTGAAAAGGCAGCGTCTGGCCTGGGAATGCTGGGGTTTGGTTGGGATTGCAGCCAGAGAGGATGAGGGGCTTTAGGGACTGGTGATGGGATTAAGTGGGAAGCTGCAGGAGGTTTAAGAAAGCCTTGGAGGCAGTGAACCCTGGAAAGATGAGACAGTTGTGTGAAGTAGAAGACAGAGAAATAGAGGCGCTGGAATGGACCTCCTCAGTGGGTCATTTAATTCTTTTGGGCCACTCCAAAAATCAGAGAAGGTGTGTGAAAGAGTTGGACAAAAAAGCAGCGGTCATCCCTTCCCCAGGGCCTGTACAACTGAGGTCAGAATTTTGGAGATGGCGGTTTAGAGAATTAGCCTTGCTGGGGGTTTTGTTGTCTCTCTAAATATTTGCAGAGGTCCAGTTATTTTAGAAAAATGTACTTGAAGCTGGGGTGGCGTGTTTGTGCGGCTGGCTGGGCTTCCTTTTCCATGATTGCTCCGATACATTCCTCCTTGTCAAGAACCCAGGAGTGTTTTCCCATCTGGAACCGCGTTAGGCGGCCCACGGCAGCCTCTGCAACACGCACAGACGCACACATGTCAGAGGGGACATACCCCCACCACACGCTGCATGCACCCAGCTGTAGCTGCACCTTTTAATATTTAATTCGGCCACCGTGACGCTGCGCCACGCTGACTGCATCTGTGCCAGGTCGCTCCTCTCCGGGCTCTGCTTCCCAGCCTGGAGGCCGGCTGACAGAACTGCTAAATTAAAAACCTCCCCAGCCCAGTGGGCCCAAGGCGGAGGATAATGCAACGTGCTCACGAGATGAGACAATGGCCTTCGTTACCAGGCAGGCTCCATTTTCAGCTACGCTCTTTTTCAGCATCTTTCTCTGCGTGAAGATCTCAGATCTCAGGCCCAGGGTTAGGGGCTAGGGGATGGCATTTGACAGCCTCTCAGGACACTGGTGCGGCTTGGAGAGGTTGGGGCTGTGGGTGTGCACCAGGGCACCCAGTGCATGCATGCCTCTTTATCCCTGTCTCTCCACCACAGGGACCTCTGCAGGGAGGGCCCTTGGCTCCTGCGCTGACCAGTAGGGGGTGTGATGAGTGGTTCTGACTTTTGAGCATCTAACAAACCGTTCAATTTATCTTGTGAGTTCTCCCTTTCTGTGACTCACTTAATCCTGGATGTGGTGACCCCTGACCCCAGGGAAAGGTCTTCTTCCCTTCAAACATGGGTTCTGGTAGGCTCAGGGGTGGGGGCGAAGAAGGCTGAACAGGACAGGCAAGCAGAAAAACAAGCAAACTAATTTCACCTCATAGACACCCATCATGTTAGAATTGTGCAGTGCTGGGTTTTCATTGGCTGATTTTATTTTATTTTATTTTATTTTTAGTAGACCACCAGTCTTTTCTTTGAAGGTACCTCTGAGTGGACTTGAACTTCTAACCTTGAAGTTACCAGCCAAATATGGCATTTATGCCACCTGGAGACTTGTGTCAGGAGAGGTCCCAGCCAGGGGTTACCAGAACTACTTGGGTCTTCAGACTTCAGCTTAGACCAGGATCTCTGGGCTGCTGGTGAAAACACAGACCAAGGTTTATCCCATAGGCTCTAGGAGGCTACTTGCAAGATGGACACCTGGTCTCCCCCTCCTTCTGCTCTTCCCACTCTTGGGCCTGTGCCATTGGGTGGGTTCACCACACAGCACAGAAGACCTTGTGGCTCTGAGCATCTGAGGAATGAAGACAAGGAGGGGGCAGAGCAGGAAAGTGGAGACGGTCAGGTGGGGCATGGCGAATTGCAAAACAAAAGCACGCTCATTTGCTGTTTATGACGGATTCCTGCCCCCCTCTTTCTTTTAAAGTTGTTTTTTCCTCAAGGGAAAACTTTTATTTGTGTCTGAGTAAAATGTACTCTCTTATTGAATTGAAAGCAGAACATGATGACAGTTTTCTGTTCCCGTGACAAAGAACAAAGAAGTAGCTCATTGGCTGTTCACAGCTTGGGGTCATCACCACCCTTCCCCCTGTCCTCTCCACCAAACTAACAGAACCCAGACCTGAGCAGGGCTGACCACATCGTTTCTCCATCCGTGGTCTGGGCTGGCCTGTAGGAAACACTGCACCCTTCCCTGTTGAGAAGGGTGACCTGCTAAGGAGAGGCTAGGAAGCCACCATTTCTTGCTTGCTTTGATGACAATAGCCAAGGAGAGATGGAGGGGGAGCTTCAGAAAGAGTGTGGCCCATTGACTTTCCCTTTCCCTCCCAGGTCAGACTGTCTGCCATATCTATCTAGTCTTGGAGGCAAAAGCTTGTTTTCTGAGAGACCATTGCTTCATCCTCAGAATCTTAAGGGAACATCTTTCTAGGTCAGAATGTTTATTCAGAGGACTCACTGGTCCACCTTCACTACTTAACCTCTCGCCACCCCTTCATACCAAATCACCGAGTTGTTTGTTGACTTTCACTTTTGGATTGGGAGACAACAGCATTGGTTTTAGAGTGTTGCCACTTCCGGTGCTAGCTTCACAGAGTGTCTCTTTGCAACCATGTTGAGGTAGCCAAGAATGAGGTTAAGCCGGCTCCTGAGGCACAGATGTCCGCTCTGGCAGAAACATTAACTGTCTTTCCTTCAGCAGCTTTGGGGTCCTGTCCCCACCACAGGGGCTCTGGGAGAAATCCTTCTAGTCCAGGCAGCGGTGCTTCCTATGGGGAGAACGTGGTGGTGGTCTCAACATCCACGCTCATCGAGGAGCGCCGGGTGTGCCGACAGGAAGACCACTGCCGAAGCTGCTCCTGGCTGAGGCATCCCAGGTCCTTGAAGAGTTTGAAGAGGTCACTGCGGAACTTGACACCGATGAAGGCGTACAAGAAAGGGTTGACACAACAGCGAACACAGGCCAGGCTGTAGGTGACATCAGAGGCGATGTTGAGTTGCTTGCTCAGCTCACAGCTGCTGCCAGTGATATTGAAGTTGGCCACCGTCTGGGCCAGGACCACCCCATTGTAAGGCAGCTGGAAGACTATGAAGACCACGACCACGGCGATGATCACTTTGATGGCCTTATTGCGTTCGTAGTTGCGTGCCTGGAGCAGGGTACGGATGATGACGAGATAGCAGAAGCTCATGGCGATGAGGGGGATGAGGAAGCCCACCACCATCTGGGCCACCTGGGTGGTGATCAAGGCCTCCACGTGCTCGGTGATGAGGGAGCATCGCAGTGTCTGCTCACTGCTGCTCTTCTGGATGCCGCTGTACAGCAGCTCTGGGATGGAGAGGACCACGGCCAGAACCCAGATGCCCACACAGGAGAGCTTGCTGATGAGCAGGACGCGGGCCCGGTGGCGGTGGGCTGAGACAGCCTGCACGATGGCGACGTAGCGGTCGATACTGATGCAAAGGAGGAGGAGCATGCCGCTGAAGAAGCTTATCTTGTACGTGCCAAAGATCAGCTTGCAAAAGTGGACACCAAAGTCCCAGGACTTGGCCGCGCTGTATGCCCAGAAGGGAAGGGTCAGGAGGAAGAGGATGTCTGCCATGGCCAGGTTGAGCAGGTAGGTATCCGTCATGGTCTTGAGCCTCTTGAAATAGATGTAAGTCAACACGACCAGCCCATTGCCCAGCAGGCCCACAAAGCAAATGACTGAGTACATGACTGGCAGGAACCAGGCCTTAAAGTTCCGCACGTCCTTCTTGAAGCACACCGACTCGTACAAGGTGTAATCCACCGTGGTGTTTTCTCCGATGTAATCATCTGTGACATCATCTTGGCATAGGCACACCTGGCGGGGGGAGGAGGGAAAAGAAGGTAGACAATTCAACTTAACTATTGTTGTTAGCTGCTACTGTGCTGGTCTCTAACTCAAGATGAGACCACGCACAACAGAAAGGCTCCCAGCATAGTGCTGTCCCTATCATCACCAGCTTAGCTGTTGTTAGGTGCTGTTGAATTGACTATGACTCATAGTAACCCTGTCAAAAGATTGGAACCTCGTACTATTCTGTGCCACCCTTACAATCTCCCACATGCTTGATCCCAGGGGTACACAGTATCAATCCATCTATCTCCTTGAGAGTGGTTCTCTCTTACACAGACCCTCTCTCTTTCCCAGCATGGTATCTTTTCCCAAGAACTGGCCCCTCTTGATAAAAGGCCCAAAGTATATGAGATGAAGTTTCAGCTTAGCTGTGGTTGTTATTATGTGCTGTCAAGTCAGGAGTGAGTCATAGCTGACCCTCCAGCGGGTTTCCAGAGGCTATGAGAGTGGCTCAACTTTCCACCACGAAGCAGCTGGTCGATTTGAACTTTGGGTTGGCAGAGCAGCTCCTAAAACTAGGCCTAAATGGTGGGACGGTGGGGTCTATGGTTACATAGCGCAGTGGCTTCCAAGTGTAGGCCACAGATTAGCAACATCAGCCTTACCCATGTTAGAAATGTAAGTTCTGAGGCCTCACTCAAACCTTAATGAGTAAGAATCTCTGCAGATGGGGCTCAGCAATCTAGGATTTTCTAAACTCTCCAGATGATCGTTTGGTACAAAATCAGTGCATATGAAGTATTTTGTTAAGATACATATTCTGACTCAGTCAGCAGAATGCAGGGGCTGAGATTCTGAACTTTGAGTAGCAAGAGTCTGATAGTGTCAGCCCAAAGAGTTTCAACCTTTGTTAGCTGTTGTTGTGTTGTTATGTACCATTAAGTCAACTGCTACTCACAGTGACCCTATATGAACAATAGCTCTGAACCTTGCTTATGATGAGTCGATCTCACTATCTCCAGTACACCTGCCTCTATTACCCAGCATTGATTCAATCCATCTGATTCAGGGTCTTCCTGTCCTGTGTTGTCCCTCCACCCTTCCAAGCATGATGTCTTTCTCCAAAGATTGGTCCCTCCTGGCAACATGCCCAAAGTATGTGAGACAAGGCCTCAAAATTCTTTCCTCCAAGAAGCAGCTTGGTTTCAACCTCTTTAGGACAGATCTGTTGGTTCTCTTGGCAGTCCATGGTATGTTCAATACTCTTCTCCAGCAACAATGCAAAGGTATCGATTTTTCTTCTATCCTTATTCATTACCCAGCTCTCTGATGCATAGCAAGGCAGTTGTGAAGATGATGGCTTGGATCAGGTGCACCTGATTCACTAGACTGACGTGACACCATTGCTCTTCAGCACTCTAGAGATGTCTCTGACAGTAGATTTTTCAAAAGCATTTTGTCTTTTGATTTCCTGACTGCTGGTGCAAAGACTGTTGATTGTAGAACCAAGCAAGCTGGAACAGCTAACCTCAATTTCTTGTTAATAGTTAATCTCAATCTCTTCTTTATAGTAGACTGGAAATATCTCAACTTGACTCAGTTAAACACACTTTATTTCTCTGAGCCTCGGTTCTCCTTTCTGTGAAACAGAGGGGAATAATGCTTCCTTCCTATGGTTGCTGTGAACTCTCAAACTTGTGGACACAGATGTCTAGTCCAGGCTCTGGGATATCAGAGGGGCGGAGTCAGTGTGAGACCTTCCCCTTCCTTTAGAAGAAGCCAGCAAAATTTCATCCCCACGGAAGTTTTAAAAGAATCTAGTAGAAAGAGCTTTCCGGGGTGGGGGGCTGTCTATTAAATACCTCAGCCTTTGAGGGAAAGTCCTCCTTGGAGTTAGGATTGATGTGAGCCTGGAAGACCAGAAAGTCCCACTGGGAGGCTGCTGAAGCAGAAGTGGTGGTTCAGCAGAAGTCTGTCCTTTCATGCAGGAGACCTGAGGTTCAATTCCTAGCCAGTGCACCTCAAGTGCAACCAACACCCACCTTCCGTGGAGGTTTGTGTGTTGTTATGATGCTGAGCGGGTTCAGCAGAGCTTCCAGACTAGAACAGGCTAAGCAGGTCTAGGATGTGACTAGTGCAAATAAACCGAGAACTCTGAACCACGACGGTCCAAGACACAGCTGGACATGAGAGTGGATCAGGACAGGGGCCCGTGTTTCTTTCTGTGGTGTATGGGGTTGTCATGACTTGGGGGGAGGGGTGACTTGATGCAGCTAAAATGCATAAGTCACTGAAGCCCTGAGCTGGGGACAAGCTGCAGTGATCATGGGGTGATGAGGGACTTGGAGCCTTTTCAGGCTCCCTGGTGCCAGCAGAAGCTCAAGCAACACATGAGAAGTGCCTCAGCCTCCATGACTATGAATGAGCGGATGCTGGGCCTGCTGGGGACTGAGCCTCCCTCAGCTGTGAGTCCTCTCTGACTTCCCCACCTTGGCAGCTGCTATCTCCCTCTCTCCCTCTCTTCCACGCAGCCTCTTCCGGCAGATCCCAATCAGCCCGGCTCAGCTGCTGGGGCTTTTTTTAGCCAGTCTGAAGGGCTGGGGGGAAGGTTCAGGGAGGCCTGCTGTGATTTTATCAATGAGGGAGGGCACATGTGCCAGCCAGTGCCTGCCTCAGTCTGCACAGCGAAGACACCACCACAGCACGTGCATGGCAGGGAGCTGGTGGAGGACCCTGTGTAGGAAGCACAAGTGCCCCAGAGTGGGGGATGAGAGAAGGCAGGGCTGGGTAGTGGGCACACACTTCAGAGAGGCACACTCTCAAGGAGGAGCTGCAGAAGCAAAGGTTGAGAGTTGACCAAGTTTTGCATACATGTCACATCCACATGTGTAAGACTTCATGTGGGAGTGGAAAAAAGAACGCTAGGCTTGGCGGTCTGGTTCCTAACCTATCACCCCAAAGATATCTCCCATCCCTTCAACGTACAGCCATAGACGACCCTTTCAGACCCATCTGAGCCCTGCTGGGGAGCTGGGGACACTTGGGAGTGGAGATGGTGTTCTTAAGGACCCTCCTTCCCATGGAGGTCTTTGAGACCTCTGAGTGCACTGGGCTCCTAGCAGCTCTTTAGTGGTTTTCCAGGAAGGAGAGGCTCAGAGAAGCCACTTTTGTTTGCCCAAGGACACACAGCTAGGAGTTACCCAATCCTCAGACTTCCCTCTTCCTTCCTCTGTCTTTGTGACTCAGGATGGATTCATCACTGTGGGGCCTGGAGAGGCTGAGGAAGACAGGATGCCCAGGAGCCCTTTCTCTGTGCACTGCTAGCTTGAGGAAAAAGTCAGAGGCTTTGCCTTCTGTCTGCTCCGCCATGACATGGTTACAGCCTGGGGCCTGGGAGAGGCGTACTGCCCAAAATCCACCCATGGAAAGGCACTGCTCCCAATCTCTCTGGGTGCTGCCCATTACCCAGTCCTGCCTGCCTTCTCTACTCCCCTCCCCCCTGCCGGTGCCCGTCCTTTGCTCCACTCACCCACCACCCCCTCCACCCACAGGCCCGAAGTCTGGATGTCTGCCGCCCACAGCCCCACCACATCCTGCCTCCTCTGAGCGCCCCCTCCCCATTAAGTGAAAAAGAAGAGCGAGCCAGGGCTGTCCCTCAGCTCCTCCCCAAGCTTTCAGCCTTCACGTCAGCAGCCCCTCCAGGAGCCAGGGCGGGAGGGAGTGGTGATGGGGAAAGGGGCCAGTCTGTGGGCTGCAGCCCAGGCTCTGGGGGAGCGTGGGGGAGGTGGATCTGGGATGGGGTTTCAGGAATGGTGCCCAGCTCGGGGCCTGCCTCTGGCCAGAGTGCCTGGAAAGAGGCCCCTCTGGCCTCCAGAGCTGGGCTGGAGCCAAGTCCCAAAGCACGCACTTCAGCTTGGCTGCACTTCCCCCTCCAGGCGGGCTCCCGCCCGACAAGCGCGAGAGGGGGGCTCCGTCAGTTATCGTTCCTTATAACTCTGGCACTTGGCGGGGGCAGCTTTTCTGTCTCTGCTTCTGAGATTGATAGCAGGAGCGCTGCACACGGGGGCGGGGGAAGGGCTTTGTGGCTGCAGAATTTGAGGCCCTGTAACGTGTGCGCATGAATTTTCTTCCCCTCCAGGTCCCAGGCTCCCCTCCACCCTGTCCTTTCCTCCCTCCCTCAAGTGGGGCTCAGCTGGATCTGGGAGGGGAGTCATGATGGAGGTAGTTAGTGGGGAGTAGGGGTAGGAGAAAATGACTTTGGGGTGATTAGAAGAACCAGGGTCCTTTTCTCAGTTCACTATCTAGTTGTACATGTGCGAGTGTATACGTGTGCTATGTGCAACCTGGTGAAGAAGGAGGGAGGCTCGGAGAAGTGACGTGGCCTGCTTTTTACAGCTCTTCTCCAAACGTGGTGGGATTGAGTTACGGTCTCCCGGGTGGCGTTTATTGGAGGTGGGGTAGCGAACGTGATGGGAACTGATTTCCACATGTTTTAACTTAAATGGAGAAAAGGAAGTCCAGAGAATATCCGTAGCTCTCCAGGGTCACGCAGCAGATGGAGGGGGAGAGGCCATCAGCCTCATGAATGGCCGAGGGGGATGGGAGTGGGGGTGGGAGTGGGGATGGGGGGTGGCGTCTGAGCCTCTAATTTCTTCCAGCAAATGCTGCGCACTTCATGGGAGGGGGTGGGCCTGGGAGCGGGTGGTGGAGGGGGGAACAGAGCCTTTCCTGGCAGGACATCTCACCTGGAAAACCACGAGGAGCGCCACCACCAGCATGCTTTTCATTGGTTTCCCTGCAGGAGACAAGGCGAGAAAGTTATTACTTCGCAGGGACGAGGCTTTGTTATTACAGAAAGCGGAGGAGAGGGGGAGAGAGACGTTGTTGGGAACTTTCATCACAAGCTCCAGGCACTGTGTCTGCCCAAATAGAACGGCAGAACCAGACTGTGCCTTTGGACACCTGGCCCGCCGCCCAGCACCCCCTCATCTCCTCCTTCCCCATCCACTCCCCAAACTAGGCTCTCTCTCCCCCTTTCATCAGTCCTTCTGGGCCTTCCCTGGAGTCTGAAATCCACTCCTCAGGGCTGAGCATCAACTGACCCTAGAACTGAGTTGCCCCCTTCCCGCTCTGTGCCACCCAGGACCTGAGCTGGTGGTGGCAGGGCTCTGTGTGTGTGTGTGCGTGCGCGCGTGTTCATGCCCCAGCTTTGCTGACAGCAGCCATGACTGAAGCCCCCAGTGTTTCTGGAGGAAGTCCAGCTGAGGAAATAATTGGGTGGACGAGTGAGCTGCTTGTTGGCCTCTCAGTGATGGGAGAGTGTCTGCAGGCCTACAGGCTCCTCAACACCCACTTATTCAGCCAACAGTCTATAAGCACGTTTAGGTTGTATGCCCCACCTCCTCAGCCTGCCAATGGGGCTGTTGTTTGTTATGTACCATCCAGACAGAACCCACCCGTAGCTGATCCTGCAGTGGGTGTTCAGAGGCAGCAAACTGCATGGGAGGAGACTGCCCATCTTTCCTCCTCAGAGAAGCTGGTGCATTTGAACCGTGTGTGTTTGGGTTGGCAGTTCAAGTCCTTACCACTAGGCCACCAGAACTAGCTCAGGCCCAGAATCAGGGAGCTGTAGGCTGATGAATGAATGAATGAAAGAACACTTGCTCTTCTGAGGACAGAACATCAAGATACCTATAGCCTGCTGGTAGTAGGGTTCAGGCTGACTCTACCTTAGAATCTGCACATTTGGGGCATATGTATATGTTTTCTCTCTTTTTACTTTTAGTTTTCTAATCCAAGACCTTAGGAGATAGGTGGGTGGGAGCATGGTCAGCTTTGGGAAGGTGCCCTGACTGGTCCTGTCCACAGGAGAAGTCGGTGTGGGTATATTCTATATGTCAGGAGGATCCCTTGGCTGTGGACAGCTGCCTGAGACCTCAGATTAGCACAAGGTGTCAATGCGCTGTGGATGGGCACATGACCACTGGTTCTGTTTTGTGGATAAACCTTCTACAAGACCCGGAGTTGTTTTCCTCCTGTGAGTGGGGGGGAGCAGGGATCCGTCCAAGGAGTGATATATGTAAAAGTCCTGTCTTACCTAAGACTGTGGATCACATCTGGGTTTTAGATCTTTCTTTGTACCTGGTCCTTGGTTCAGTGAGGTTCTGGTCCACTAGCAGGATTTTGAGAACCATCACAGGGCCAGTCTTACGAGGGATGGGGAAGAGCCTAGGACCCTGAGTCCAGTGTTGGTGGCCCTTTCCAGCAAGCATTCCCGCTTCCCAAGAGGAAGCAGTACATTCCCAATTATTTGTGCCTTTGGCTACAGCACCACCTGCTGGAAGTCCAGTTGTATGATACCCAAGTTGAGTTAGCAAGCCTCAACCAAGCATCCAAGGAGTCCCCGTGTCATAGCAGTTAAGCATTTGGCTGATAACCAAAAGATCAGTGGTTCAAACTTAACAATCACTCCGTGGGATGAAGATGTGCAATCTGTTTCTGCAAATATTTACAGCCTTGAAAACTCTGTGGGACAATGTCCCTTATCTTACAGAGTCACTATGAGTCAGAATCAACTTGACAGCAATGGGTTTGGGTTTTTTAGTTTTTTAACCCACAAACTGGCTGCTACTGAGTAGATTCTGAGTCATGGCAACCTCGGGTGTGTCAATCTGAGTAGGACTGAGCGCCACATGGTTTCCAAAGCTGTGACCTTCCAGAAGTGATTGCCTGGCCTTTCTTCAGAGGCATCTCTGGATGGGCGGTTAGCAACTGACTGTTTAACCCAGAGACACAGTGCAGTGTGCTCTAAGGAGAGTGCTCTGCCTGGGGGAATTCTAGGCTTGGGAGTTCCCAGGACAATGAGGAAGGACATCAAGTCACATAAACGAGTAGCTATTTCTCCTGCATCAAGGATCTTATCCAGCATAAGACTTGTAGGCTTCCTAAAGCACAGCACCAAGACTAATCACCTCCATCCTCTTAGATGTTTAGAGCTCTGTGTAGCCCTAGGACTCTGGGTAGGGCAAACTGTTGGCTAACCAAAGGTTGGAGGTTCGAGAGCCCTGGTGCTGGTGGAGTGTGTAATGGGTTAGGCTGCTAATTGAAAGATTAGTGATTAGAAAAACAACGTATATGAACTTTGTATGTAAACCAGCATAAAGTGAAAATATATATATATAATTGGAGATTTAAAACCACCAGCTGGCTGTTTTTCGAGAGAAAGACAAGCTGTCTTCGCCTGTAACAGGGAGACCTCATAGAGGATCACTGTGAGTCTGACTTGATGATGTAGGTTTTAGGCGTACCTCAGAAAGAAAGCCTCGAGATCTGCTTCTGGAAAAATCTATCACTGAAAACCCTTTGGCACAACCCAGTTCTCCTCATGGGGTTTCCAGGAGTCAGAATAACCCACTCAATGACAATTTTTTTTTAAAAAACAACAAACAAACAAAAAACCACCACAAAACAAACACCCCATAAACCTGCCCTGAGAGGCTCTGGTGGCCTAAATAGTGAGAACCTGCACTCCAATCCTGAAGGCAAGCAGTCTGAAGCTGCTTCACGGGAGAAGGATGGGCAATCTCCTCCTGTGCAGTTTCTATGGGTTGGTTCACAAAAACGATGATGGGCTTAAGCATAGCTCGGAGCGTGGCAGAGTCGAGTCAATGGCTCCGAACTACAAGCGGGACAGTGTCTAAGAAGCTCTAGTGGTGCAAGAAGGCAAGCAGCTGTAACCCAAGACCACCAGTAAGGTGATAAAGCGTCCTCCCTTCCCCCCTTTACATCTATGCCCCTGTTCAGCATGAAGAAGCCAGAGTCGGCATCCAATTCCCAAATCAATAAGACAGTTGGTTTAATTACTATTGGAAAATGCTTGTCATTCCTCTGTAGCATCTGGTCCCCACTGGACCCTCATCATTTCCTTCACCTGCTCCCCCCACCGACCAAACTGTGCAGCTCTGCAACTGCATCCTGGCCCATCCTCACCCTTCTGCCCCCAACCCTCACCTCCTTGTACCCCCAATATGTTTTTCCCAATAAAAAAAATATTAAAAAAAAAAAGAAGAAGCTCTAGTGGTGTAGTCCTCAGTGTGTTGTGCTGCTAACCAAAGGGCTATGTGTCTCCTCCAGTGGTTCAAATCCACCAGTGGCTCAGCATGAGAAAGCCAGGTCGTCTCCTGTTAAGATTTACAGGCTCAACAGGCGCATAGAGGACTGCTGTGAGCTGGAACCGACTTAGAGACAGTGCATTTGAAGCATGACGCGCAGGGTTTAGCACGGCAATCAGACCCTGCACCGCCTACTCAGACCTGCCTTCTGAGCAGCAGCTTCTACTTCTGGAAACAGGCATACTTATTCCACCATCACCAGCTTGTGCCTGAGTAGTCGTGGTTCTGGGTGGTGATGGATTCTTGGGTAGCAAGCAGCTCTCCTTCTCTCAGCCCCCTTCCTTGTGAATCACCCCCGTAGCTTTTGAGTCAAGGCCAAGTCTCTACCCTTAACTGCTGTTTTCAGGGTCCAATGCACCGCCCATCCCCGAGTGACTCATCTTGCTGTTGAGTCCTCGAGGTTTCTTTAAATACGTAGCCTGTGTCTTTCGGTTACTCTAGAGAAAGCCCACTCTGACTGTCAATGAGAACTGAGAAACCTCAAAGTTTTGATAAGTTACAACGGGTGAAATACGAGGAGCAAGAACCGTGTTTCTGTTTTACTCCTCTGACCTCTTTTCCAGGGACTGGAGTCAAGTGGTGGGAGGGAGGTGATGGTGGGGTGCATGCGTGTGTCCACTTCTGGGCTTTTTGGAGGTATTAGACAGCCAGGGTTCTTTAGGACCACATCAGGGCATTTTCAAGACAGGGAAATTTAGGGGAACTATGCTGTGTGGCAGACGGGGGCCTGGTCAGTGGCTGTGAGTCACATCACTCCTGCTGTTGGAAAGTCATAAAGCAACTGTTCTTGGGCAGCAGCTTTGAGGGACCAGCTGAGCTGGGAATCTGAGGGGTAAAGGAGTGGTTGGCCTGGGTGCTGGGTGGTTTCTGGGTTCTTGAGTTTCCAGTAATGATCATAATAGAAAAAAAAATTCCCTAGCACTCCAACCTGAGTCCCCCAGCAAGAGAAATTCCCACCAGCCTGGGAAGAAGGGGTTGCTGGCTGGCTGCCCCAAGCCCCGCACTCCCATGCCCATATCTCAAAGTCCTCACTCCAAGCAACCCCAGGAATCCAGGTGACCCTACTGAAGGGAAACAATGAGGGATCTAAAAGAAAGATCTCAAAGAAACAGGGAACTCCTTCCAGACAACAGCCAAGGATGGATAAGGGCTGTGTGGCTTCTAGGGATGTTGTCAGTGCAGTGACCCCTGGAACCACGGGGTCAGACCCTTGTGATCTAGGGGCCTTTTCATGAGGAAGTTTTCACAAGTCCTTTGTAGACTGAGTCTGAAAGCTCCGCTGAAACCTGCTTAGCAACATGCAAGCACCCACTGACAGACAGGTGGTGACTGTATGAGAGCTACATGGACTGGGAATTGAACCTGGGTCTCTTGCATGAGAGGTGAGAACGGAACCACTGAACCACCACTGCATCCAATATAAGACCAACTGCTTTATCCAATGATACACTTTACTTTTATGTACCTAATCACCAGTGCACACTCGTGTCATGCTTACAAAAGCCCTTTGCTTTTAGGTACTGCCCATACCTCCGCTTACCAATGAGGAAACCGAAGCGGAGGAAGATTAAGTAACTTTCCCAGAGTCACATAAACTGCCAGTGGTAAAGAGGGTTTCGAACTCATGACCTCCAACTGTAGAAATCGCACTCCTAACTATGCTTCTGTGCTGTCTGTAAGTCTTTAGGGGAGGAGCCCCTCATGACATCTTGTGACCCACCCATGTGATTCTTGTTTCAAGTTTCAGAGACTAGAAACTCAGAGAGGCTAAGCTACTTGCCTGGGGTAACACAGCTCTGGAGAGATGGGTCAGTTTTGAAGGAGACTGTGACACCCTGCATTTCTGCTAAGCCTGTGTATATGGGATTCTCCATGAAACATGAAGGAGATCTCCATTCTTCCACATCAGCTGGTCACCTGCTTTGTTGTTTCTGTCTCTTAATATCTCAAGCTGATCTTGCCTCTGCCCTGATATAAGGCTTTGTTGGTCCAGAGCTCAGTACAAAACACAAATCTCATGCTTTAACTAGTCTATTTAAGACAGAAAACGTTACCACCTCCACAATGCTTGCAGGATGAAGTTCAACACTTCCGAGCCACGTCACACAACCCTGCCTGTCCCACTCTCTTCCTCCCTGGCCTGGCTGAATATTTCACACATTTCAGCTTGCTTCTTTCTTCTCTCTATAGCTTTTGCCAGAGCAGGCCATCTGGGAGCCCTAGAGGCTGAATTAATCCTGGGTTGTGTGGAGTGTAAAATGAAATGGACTAGGATGCCTGCTAAGGGCATGTGCACCCTACTCACGTACTCCTCTCCACTTCCTAGGTTTTATCATTAGTTTACCTTGTTGGCCTCTGTTAACAATGGAGTTTGCGCTATTCTCTATAAGCTGGTCCTCTTTGCCTCTTTGTCTGCTTTGCCAACTCCTACACACCCTTCAAAACCCTCCTTAAATATTCCCTTGACTCATGTTCACCACAATCTGCCCTGAGCTTTACCTTACCTTCATCTGTACTGTTTTTTCTCTTAGTTACAATGGCTTCTTAACATGCTCCCATCTCTCTTCCCACCAGGCTGGCTGGCCAACCCTGAATTCCTCATAAATAACAGCAGAGTAAGTGCCAAACAAAGGGGAAGGATTTTTCAGCAGCTTCCCCACTCCACAGATTGCAGCCTTCCTCATCTTTCCAGACAGCTCCCAGAAAGCCAGCAGGATTGGTCCTTAATTTCTTCAGCATCCTCTCCTGAGACACCATTTCTGACCGCCTAGTGAGAGATGATCTCACAGGGCTCATTTTTGTTTTTCTGCATTTGTAAATTCTCAGATCTTAGGCATCTTTTCTCAAAGGCGGGGAAGGTACCTTGGGGAGGCTCATTCAAATCGCGAAAAGCACCAGCTCAGCACCAGTTGGGAGTTTTTCATTTTGTGTAACAGAAACTGGCCCCTAGTCCACCTCTCACTCCCTGCTGGGCAGACTAAGGAAGGGGGGGTGAACCGAATCTTTGTGGCCCACCCGTCCCAACGGCCCAGTGCCCGTTCTGAGCAAACAAATTTGCTCAGTGGCTTCCTCTGCTCCCAGCTCTTAGGCTCAGCTGTTGGGGCAATCTCAGGTTGAGTGAAGCAGCAAGAACACTTCTTCCTCCTGGACCAGAGATGGCTTTCCCTCTACAGCCTTAAAACCAACATCTAGCACCCAGACTTAGGTCTAGGGGAGGGTGCGGTGCTGATGCTGGCTCTCACAGGCTCATGGGAAACCATTGGACACATCTCTTTCTGATCTCTTGTTTGACAGGTACGGCAATAGCTTGAGTAGTGGTGGGAAAATTTACACTATGGAAATTGGCAAGAGCTACAAATCACTTTCTCCTTAGAAGCCAGTTTTTGCTGAGATGCTGCCGTTTCCTGCATGGTGGTCAAAACAGAGGGGATGGAGCAAGACTGTGGTCAGCAGGGAGGGTGTCTCAGGAGTGGAATTAGAGATCAATCTGTCTGGGCAGTGAGGAAATTGGAAGAGATTTCCCCAGATGAAAATCCACTTGAATTCTCGATGGTATTCCCTCCCTCCCTCCCTCCCTCCACATTTTCTGCCTACACCTTCCAGATGCTTGGAGACATAGAGATGAAATAACTCTGCCATCCAGGGGTGGGTTAGTGGATGAGCAACCCTTTACTGTTTGTTGGCTAGACGCTGACCTGGAGGTGAAGGCGGATGAAGCAGGCAGAGAAGATGAAGACAAGGAGGCTGTGCTGTGGTTGAGCAGGGGTGTGAGGACAGCACAAGGCGCACCAGGGAACCTTCACTTTTTAAAGCCAAACCTTTGTGGCTTTGAGGCCGCTGTGGTGCTTTGCTTGCTAGTGAGAATGAGCCATCTAGGCATGCAGCCTTCTTAGTCCTAGTCCATGTCTGACTCCCCAGCTGAGATTTATATATGGGGGTGGGGCTGAAAGTGGATGAACCACTTAGAGCCCCCTAAGTTCTTATCTTGCATTCTCTTTCATCAAGGCAGAACAAGAAGACTGAGGGTAGACCAGAGGAAGGGCTATTTTTTTTTTTCAAGAAAAAGAGACCTCTATATAATAGGTGGAATTTACTCAAAGGCTACATGAGAGACCCTGGCCGAGATTTCTCTAAGCTGAATGGTACTTGTTGTCCCCATGATGTTCTCTGCCTATCCCTTAACTTGCAAGAGGCAACAGTGGCAAGTACAGCAGAGAGAAAACAATCATAGCTTGCATCTGCTTTGCATTCTACTCTTTAGGAAACACAATTGCTTCTAATATGTTCCTGCTTATGACCTCAGAGTCCTAACACAGGTTCTAATCCTCAGCTAGTAAGGAGAGTTAGAGAATGGAGCCAGGAGCTGGTTCAGAAGCCAGAAGTCCCTAGAGACTTGTAAGTAATTTTACTGGAGGCGTCTGAGCCCCCTGAGAGTTTTTGCCTCAATGAAACTGGTCACCAAAGTTTCATAGGCCATCACCCAGTACCCCAACCTGGGATGAGAACAGGTGCTGACCAGATCAGAATCGAACCATCATTCTCAAACTTGCTGCCTTCTCAGCTCTCTGCTGTTCTAGAAAGACATCACCTTCCAGGAACCAGGATCCCCCAGACCCTGGGTCTCAAAGGGCAACAGCACCCACTACTTTTCAGGAAAGCAGGGTGCTATCTTCTGAAACCAACCCCAGTTCCCGCCAACCAGAATGTGATTTCTCTGGAGCCTCCCCTTGACCTCTCACCATCATCCCGCTTCCACAGGGCAGCTTGGAATCAAGGGGACCCAAGTACTGCTATTTCTCACCCAAGGAAACTCACTCACCCGGGTCCATGATACTCTCTGGGCAGCTGACAACATACAGGAAATCTGTGCAGGGGCCCCCACGTTCTGGCTGGTGGCTCCTTGTTTGTGGAGGAAGTGGTAGGAGCCCCTTTTAAATTGTGAGAAAAGCCTTACTCCTCCTCCCTGCCCCGCCCCTCCCATCTTGCTCCTCCCTCCTCTTGCTTCTCGCTGTCTAGGTCTCTTTAGCACCTTCTGGGCCCAAGTGGTATGAGAAAGGTGACAGAGGATGACATCCCCACTCAGTATAAAAAAGCTCCCTGTGCAGCCCACCAGGACCTAGATGAGGGGTCCAATCTGAGGCTGGAAAAGTGGGGGGCATTTTGTGATGTAACGTTAAGTATACAGCACAGATACCACATGCCATGTGCTAGGGAGTCAGAGATAAGTGATAGATGGGTCCCTATCCTTCCTGTTCCCTATTCAGAGTCACAGGGGGACCTCGTTTTCCAAACTACGTTACCCTCTGCCTTCAGGGCAGGTTTGGCCAATGGCTGCCAGTAGCTAGCTGGTGGATGGCGGAAGGGAAGAGGCTGGCAGGATGCTTCCCTTTTGCTCTTTCTTTCCTTTGCTTTCTCCTTTTGATAGCAGCCTTTTTGTGATATAATTTACGGGACGGGGGGGGGAATCTACTCCTTCAGAGCTTTTAGTATGTCATAGAGTTGTCAACCCTAACCCCAATAAATTTTAGGCTACTTTCTGTCCCCACAAAAGAACTTGGCTCAATAGCAATGGCTCCCTCCCTGAACTCACCCATCCCCACTCTGTCCTTAGCAACCACCAAGCTGCTTTCTGTTTCTATAGGTTTGTTTGCCTCTCCAAGAGCGTTCACATAAATACCTTCTTTCACTTGTTGCGTGTCATCAAGTCTATTTCAGCCCATAGTGACCTGGGTGATAGCGTGGAATTCAGCCATGGGAGCAAAGCACCAAAGCTTTTCTCCCTCGGGGTGACTGGTGGGTTCCAGCCACTGATTTTTATTAGCAGCTGATTGCATAACCATTACACCACTGGGGGTCCTTTACGTCACATAGCATGTTTTCCAGGTTCAATATTGTCTATTTTTGTTAATAATGAATTTTAAAATTTATTTATACCATCACTCACTTTTACATCAACCTTGTCTTGGCCTGTATCAGAACATCTCTCTCTCTCTCTAGTAAAGACAGGACAGTTTATTCAGACACAGGAAAGTTTATTAAGATAGAGAAACACCCTCAGAAAGGGAGAATGGGCCCATCTAGGGAGGAAAGGTGAGAACGGGCCAAAATTTCATTTCTCTTAGTAAAGAAATACTACTCCACGTTGTGTGCGGCACTCTGCTGGTGTAGTCTGTGGTGTGTTGCTCTGCTAAGCAGAAGACTATATGCCTTCAGTGGTTTGACTCCCCCAGTGACTCTGGGGGAGAATGGTGGGCAGTCTCCTCCTGTTAAGATTTACAGACTCAGAAACCTGATTAAGGAGCACTGTGAGTTGAAATCTACTTGACAGCAGGGTTATATGAGATGTATATGGAACAGCATAGCCACAGTTTGTTATGATCCACAGTCAAACGCCTTTGCATAATCAATGAAACACAGATAGACATTCTTCTGGTATTCCCTGCTTTCAGCTAAGATCCATCTAACATCAGCTACAATATCCCTAGTACCACGACCCCTTCTAAACCCAGCCTGGACTTCCGGCAGTTCTCTGCTGATGTGCTGTTCTAGTCGTTTTTGGATAATCTTCAGTAGAGTCTTGTTTGCATGTGAAATCAATGATACTGTTCTGTAGTTTCCACACTCAGTTGGGTCACCTTTCTTTGGAATGGGAACAAATATAGGTCTCTTCCAGTCAGTTGGCCAAGTGGTCGTTCTCCAGATTTTTTGGCACAACTTGGTGAACACATCCAGCGCAGCATCTGTTAGCTGCAATATGTCAGTTGGTATACCATCTATTCCTGGGGCCTTATTTTTTGCTATTTCCTTCAAAGCAGCCTGAACTTCTTCTTTCATCACCATAGGCTCTTGCTCATATGTTGCTTCATGAAATTCTTCTGTGTCCGCCAATTCCTTCCGATACAGTGATTCAGTATATTCTTTCCATCTTCTTTTAATACTTCCTGGATCATTTAATATTCTGCCTAGAGATCTCTATTTGTTCCCATTCCAAAGAAAGGTGACCCAACAGAGTGTGAAAATTATAGAACAATCTCATTGATTTCACACGCAAGCAAGATTCTACTGAAGATTATCCAAAAACGACTGGAACAGCACATCAGCAGAGAACTGCCAGAAGTCCAGGCTGGGTTTTGAAGGGGTCGTGGTACTAGGGATATTGTAGTTGATATTAGATGGATCTTAGCTGAAAGCAGAGAATACCAGAGGAATGTCTATCTGTGTTTCATTGACTATGCAAAGGCATTTGACTGTGTGGATCATAACAAACTGTGGCTGACTCTGAGAAGAATGGGAATCCCAGAACACTTGATAGTTCTAATGCGAAACCTATACTTGGGCCAGGAGGCAATCGTGAGAACAGAGCACGGGAACACTGCATGGTTCAAAACTGGGAAGGGCGTACGCCAGGGATACATCCTATCTCCATACCTTTTCAACCTGTATGCAGAACAGATCATCCGGGAGGTTGGGCTCTATGAGGAGAAATGTGGGGTCAAGATTGGTGGACGATCTATCAACAATCTGTGTTATGCAGATGACACAACCCTGCTTGCTGAAACTAAGGAGGACCTGAAGCACTTGCTGCAGAGGGTCAAGGACTGTAGCATCCAATATGGATTGAGGCTCAATGTCAAGAAGACAAAGATTCTCACCACTGGGCCAATTGGAAGTATCAGGATGGATGGTGAAGAGATTGAGATTGTTCACAGCTTTAGTTTGCTTGGTTCCACAGTCAACACTCTTGGCACCAGTAGCCAGGAAATTAAAAGGCACATTGCCATGGGAAAGTCCACTGTTAGGGACCTCTCCAAAGTACTGAAGAGCAATGGTGTCTCTCTGGAGACTAAGGTGCATCTGATACAGGCCATGGTCTTTGCAATCACTTGTTATACATCAGAGAGTTGGATCTTTACTTGTGTTTTGTTGAAAATGTATGACATTCAGCTGTGAGGATCATAACAAATTATGGTTAACATTATGAAGAATAGAATTTCAGAACACTTCATTGTGCTCAATCGGACCTGTACAAAGATCAAGAGGCAACCCTTTGCACAGAACCATGGGATACTGCATGGATTAAAACCGGGAAAGGCGTGTGTCAAGGTTGTACCTTTTTGCCATATTTATTCAGTTGTTATGCCAAGCAAATAATTTGAGAAGCCGGGCTATATAAAGAAAAAGATATCTTCACTATAATGGAATTTGACCATATACACTTCTGACTCCATTCTAAGTCTGATGTCATTCTTCTTCATGTGGTATAAGCCCTTGAAGAAAGTCCCAGATCAAGAGAGTCCATGAACAGGATCGGACCAAAGAACATTATGACAAATTGTTGAAGGTCAAGAAGGAGTGGTCCTGGCTCTGAAGATTTCCACCACATCACTACTGCCTGATTCCAACCCCTTCAACTCGCTGTGTGGACTTTGTACCCTCTACTTGAGGAACCTTCAATTTCAGTTTCTTGATTGTTCTCTCTGTGAAGTAATGGGGTTTCCCGAGGATTTCTCAACACTGAGCTTCCCTTTGACCAGTAAACAATGCAGCCAGTGGCTATTGACTGAGATTCCACACTCTGTGAGAGTGACAGTGGAAGCGAGAGCCTTTTCCAAAATCTGCCTATTTTTTGAGGCCCAGGTGGGCATGAGAAAACGACCAAAGTTTTACAAGTGTTCAGGTCTTTCATTCATAGGGTCACTATGAGTCATCTACAACTCAATGGCACTTAACAACAACAACAGGTAGACGTGATGTTTACGGACTTCTCTCCTTTGATTCCCTGTGGCACTTAGCTTTGGGGACAGTGAGAGTTCGGGCCTTTTACCTTCTTAGTGGGTTGACCATTTTATGGTACGTGAAATATCTTTTGCTTTTGCTGTTTTATTTTGTTAAGTAAGTGACTTTCTCTCAGCTACTGTGACACATGAAACAAACGATGTACAGAGTGTTTCTCAGAATTGATTACTTCCAAACTTTCTTCTTACCCAGTTGACCATTCATTCATTCATTCACTATCCAACATTCATTTACTAAGCACCTATTCTTCAAGGTTTAGGACCAGGTGATCGATCTTAAAGGCCTTATAACACATGGCCTTTGGTATCGAGGAGCTTGCCTACTAATGGAAAATATCAAATACCCACATTTTTTTTTTAGTTCTGTATTTCCATGCGCATTTTAACATGTGATACCATTTTGCCCTCAGAGCTGCCCCATGTAGTAGGTTTCTATTTTATGTTTGAAGAAACTGAGACTTGAAAGAGAAGAAGTGACTTGACCTTTGATGCTTGAAAGGTTCGGGCAATAGCTGCCCTCTCTCTGCCTGGAAAAGATGCCCTCAAATGAGGCTGACCACACCTTGCTCTGTTTTCAGAGAATGTGTGCCACTGGCCTTTGAGGAAGTCCTGCCTGGGGACAAAGTGAGCTGGAAGCAGGAGTTAGAAGATAACTCTACGTTCAGTCCAACCATCTGCTGAAGTGTCGGTTGCCCAGAGGGCAGGGGGGAACTTAGCTTAGAATAAACTCAGCCATTGCTTTAATAGAAAGAACAGGATAGAACCTGAGACTAGAAAAGGTCCCTGAACTTCAGACCCTAGAGAAGAAGCCAGACCCAGAGGCCCCTGGAGGGAGCCAAGGCTGCAGAAGCTCGGTCTTGTCTTACAGAGGGAGTCCTTGTCCAAGAGTGTTTTATTTTCTTTACTCCATGTGGTCTTTACTCTAGTCTCTCTGGTCTTGCAATTCAACAGGTAAAGTCCAAAATTCTATCTCTAACCTCCTTCACTTTCATCCCTTGTTTTGTCTTGTTGAGGAATGATTGGTCCCCAAGTGA